CTGACCTTGGCATCCAAGTGGTTTAAAGAAAAGAGTGTGAAACAGCAAAGAATAAAATTAAGGCCCAGTTTGTATCTGTGGGAATCAGTGGCCTTAGGATTTCCCTCTGTACTAACATCAGCTCCTGTGTCCTTATAGCTGGGAAAGCTGACAGTGCATAGTCTATCTAGCCTCTAGAAGGACTGGGACTGATCTTAACTTTGTGCTTGTTTAACTGTCATGGTTATCCTGGTCCATCTACTATGCTGACATCTACATGAGCACGAAAGAGCATGGTTATGAGACTTCTAAGTAGCTGGGGGGCCATATGCCTCACAGGCTGCACTAGTGGGGGCTGCAAACTGAGGGCTGCAACAGTACAGACCACGGGCCCCTTTGGGTGCTGTCCTACTGCATCAAGTACCTGGGTCTTTCCCAACGCTGCCATGCTGAGCATGTGGGCACTCCCTCCTGTCCTGCCCCCACCTACACTGCATGTATGGGCATAGATAGATACCCTATGCTTGCTTTCAGCTTCCTGGATGTGGACTTCAAATTACACTGGCACCCCACATCCTGGGTTTCTCTTGGAAGGATGTATTATGCTGGTCTACCCTGCCCCACCTTTTAGTGTGGGGCAGGAAGCAGAAACCAAAGAGAGGAGGAGCCTGGAGCCTCCAGCTGCTGCTGCTGCCATAGGGGAAACACTACAGCAGCTGGATGGGATCATGGGGCTACAAACTAACCTCTTGCAGGCTGTCAGTTAGAGAGCCTGGTATAGCTTTTTCTATTTCAGTATAAGCATGAGGAGATTGTACCGCTTTCATTGCACCAGGGCAGTTCATGCAACTCCACTTCTGTGTATGGTCAAGGCCTGAGTGTCAGGTGCTCTAGTTTCTATTTTCGTGCCTGACATGGAAGATGAATATGGGCCAGCAGTGTGATGAGGATGCCAATAGGGCAAATAGACCTCTGGCATGCATCAGCTGATGTGTTGCCAATAGATCCAGGGAGGTGATCCTCCCTCTCTATTCGGTGTTGGCCAGAGTACTGTGTCCAGTTCTGGACACTGCACTTCGAGGACATGGATAAGCTCAAGAGGGTACAAAGGAGGGCCTTGGTCAAGGGCATGGAGGATAGGCCCTACGAGAAGAGACTCCGGGAACTGGGCCTGTTCAGTTTGAGTAAGAGAAGGCTGAGAGGTGACTTGATAGCCACCTGCAAGTACATCAGGGTGAACAGCAAGATCTAGGTGAATTTTGGATTTTAAATTTCACTGCAGAACAACAAGGAAGTTTTTTACCTTCCTGCCTGCCATCTGACACCTCCAGGGAAGGAATTCTACCTGATCAACACATCAAAGAGCTACTCAGCACAGCTCACAAAGACACTCTCCCCAACCCAGGGGGACAGCCTTCCATCTTCAGCTCCCTCTGTGCAAAAATGAAGTTTATTTCCTACCTCTGGGGACTTTTTACCATCTTGTACCATCTACACTTTTCCCAGAGCCTGACGAAGGGACTTTGTCCTTTTCTGCAAGCTTTTGGGATCAATTTTCTTGCCATTTTCCAGTTGGTCTAATAAAAGGTATAATTTTGGAACCAAGAGTTCTAGTTTTTTGTTAGATCTAGGTGAGCAATTCTTCAGGAAAGCACCTCAAGGGAGGATGAGGACCAATGGACATAAGCTTATAACGGGTAAATTCAGGCTAGATACAAGAAAGAACTTTTTCTCTGTAAAGGTTGCCAGAATCTGGAACACATTTCCAGCAGAGGTGGTGCACTCACCATCCTTGGAGGTATTCAAGTGGAAGCTGGACACACACCTTGTTGAGTTTGTCTGAGGCCAATAATTTCCTGCCCATGGCAGGGGACCAGACTTGATGATCTTACAGGTCCCTTCCAGTTCTATGATTCTATGATAGATTGAGACCCTTAACCTTACAAACTTTCCTTTCAATGGACCACTTGATTTTTTTCTGTGGTTTTTTTGGGTTTTTTTATTTCTTTATTTTTTTGCAGGCTTGGGCAAACCCTTTTATTTCTATTTTTTAAGCTTAATTTCCTTTTCTCCCATTGGTGAAATAAATAAATACCTACTCTGCAGTGCAACTGGAAGGCTTTTTCAACTATCTTATGTAGAGTGCTTCAAAGTCCCAAAGGAGCAGCATCCTGGGTGGAGTGCACAGCAACAGTTACACTGGAGATTGTAGCTTTCTAGCACTCTGTTGGGTTTTGCAGCCCCTTACAGAAAGCAAATTGAAATGATCCAAGTCTGGTCTCTGCTAGAGGAGGACCTTTGTTCTGGAAAACAGTTCGGTATCACTTAGCATACACCTTGTTAAAGTGCCTTAGAGGCAAGGAGTTTTAATACCAATTTGCTAAATTAACGTGGGTGATGTCACAACCCAGTGATTTTTGTGCCTCGGCACTATGGAATTTCCTGGCCACATGAGAGCTCCTTTGCACGGCAGAGTGTTCTGCTGCAATTGAGAACCCGCGTGTAGGAGAGAGTTCCCGCCAATTTGCAGTTTCCTTTGCAGGATGCATTTCTTCTTTGCAGCACAGAAATGCACGGTGCAAAGAGTTCCCGCTAGTCGAATGTAAATTTGTGCCCCGCTATTGGCCAGTGCTAAATTATTCACACGTGGCGGCTAGTAATTGGCTCGCTGGCCGTTTAAAATTCCGCGCGACTTCCGCCCAAGTCGAAGAGCTTTGAGCATGCTGCAGAGTGCCTCTGAAGTTATCTGACTTGCGGCTGGCGATCGATAGACTGATCACCTATCGATCTTTCTTCCCGTCACCGAGCCCACCCCCAGACATACCCTTTTCCCCGCCAGCTTCGAATTGCGGACGGATTAACTGGCTTGGGCCCCGCCAGCTGGAACAACTCGTGTGGTTGTTCAGACGACCGGACCACCTGCGTCGTGATTGCAAGCGGCGTGAGTAAAGTTTTTTGCAACCAATAAGTTGTGTCTGCCTCTCCATTCCCCAGCCCGCCCTAACGTACGACCAATTTCTACCGCAACTCGAGTCGGCTCTGGCCGTCCGAGACAGGTGACAGTTTCTCTCTGGCTAGCATCTGAGGAAGCTCCATTGGGAAAGCTGTGTTCTGAAAAGATGAGTATTATGCAGGGAAAATCCAGATTACATGTACAGCAACTACAAGTGCTGCAGTTGAAGATATGCTATTTTTCAATGTAACGGCATAAAATAGGCAACTTTTTCTATACTTATATAAAGTGCATGGCAAATGAAACAAGCACTCCTGGCATTCCTTCCCATGGACTATCATGTGCATGAGAATTTACTGTGGCAGCAGATGCTCTGTGTATATATTTAAGATTGTACAGAAGAATGGCATGATGCTACCTGCAAATTACACACCATATCATTAAAGGCTGTTTCATAATACATTCATGCAAAGGTGACAGAATTGAGGCTTCACATTGAAATTTGGTGCTTCTTAGCTTTCAAACAGTTACCTAGATATCCCATTAATTGGGGGAAAAAAGAATTGTATGAAACTATTATTAAACAGAGCCAAGCAACATCTCTGGAACTTACCCATTAGCAAGCCTAACGTTTACATGGGAAAAACAGATTTATGGGAATGGTCCAGTTAAGGAGAAATTAGGTGTACCATTGCACAGGTATCGCTTGAAAGAATCAAACCAGCATGGGCCTACATGGGAAAACCAGGGCCTCTCAAACTCATTAAGATGTTTGAGAATTTGTGAAAAGTTAATGTACATCAAAGTGACTCACCAGGCATGAATTACCTGATTTTCATGAGGCTTCATAAGATCCTTCAAAGTGGATACTGAAGTAAGTGCATAACTGCAGGATAAGGACCAAAGACTCATTGTAAAGGAACATGGGCTCAAGCCATGATAAACAAAGGACTGCATTGAGCTGTTCCCTGGCGTGGAAGGAGTGTGCATGAGCGCTATATAAAGCATAACCATATGCTGTGGCACAGTGCATTTTCTATAGATTAAAAACTGTGTAGGGTTGTACAAAACTATAGATGTATTTGAATAAATAGGGTTGGGGAAGGTCTGGCAGGATACTGGCAGGTGACATTAGAGAAGTGGAGGTGTTCAGGTTATCAAGGAAACGACTAAGCTCTATGTCAAGACACACAACCCTGGTTGGCAGAATCTCCCCAGCAGAGATACTGGTGGCATAAAGGGGCTGTGATGACTTCTCCTCATGGAAACAGGTGATGAGAAGCAAAATAGGCTCAAAATGGGTGACTGGCCTGGAGGAAGATGGGCCCATGGCAGCTAGTGGAAACTTGGAGTCAGCCTGCACTAGTCTTTTCCTGTTGCATGGACATACTGTCCTCTGCTTGGACAGTTCATGGAGTACAAGCACTGAGATTGTTGGCTGTGATTTTGCCATCAGCATTTCTCCCTCATGTCTCATGATGAATCAACTCCCAGTTGCTGTGGGGGCCTTCATGCTGTTCTCCAAGCACAAAAGTGAGCCAAGGTCAAAGACAAGATTAAAAACCATTAACTTCTGGCCTGGTGTTTGGTGCCGTCCCATCTCCACTGCCCAGATGGGTGACAAGAACCTTTGTATTGGCATCCTCATTAACTATATTTTGGCCACGGCATGCTTAGGCTGTGGACTGTACAAATACATTATGGTTAGAAGTCTGTTGTCCTCCTCTCCTGAATACATGAGAGAAGTAAACACTGGAGTTGAGGGAGGGTATGTAAGACAGTACTAAGAAGCACTGAATGCTAGGCTGGACTCCTGGGTTCTGCTGGCATGCCATTGATTTACTCTGTGACCATGGCCATTTCCCTCCATTTTGCCATCTGCAAGTAGGGATAATGATACTGACCTGCCTATACAAAGTGCTTTGAGATCCTTATACAAAAGCAGTTACCACATGCTTTGTCGCTTTGATGGCTATGAGGGGAACAGCCTGTAAGGGTGTAGGAGGGAGCGCAGAAATCCTAAAGCCAATTCTATTTTGGTCTGGTAAATAAAAGGAAACAAGTGAACCCTTTTCATTTTGTTTCATTTATTTGGCAGTTATATCCAAACCTCTCCTCCCTGCTTCAAAAACATTACAAAAACAAGTAAAATAAGTTTGCTAAAGAGACCTATGGAATACTGATAAATTTCACACACGTACACAAGGGAAATATAGAGAGAATGGGAGCTTTTTTGTTTGTTTCTTAAATGGTGGCTTAAAAAAATTTGCCTTCCCTGCACCTTGCAGACTCTCCAGTGACTATCCCAGCAAACACTGCTTGGAGCTGTTCCTTCCACATTGGGGCAGTACTGTCCCCTGTGATTACAGAGAAGAGATGTTCATGCACCATGTATGTACCAACGTACCATTGCCCTCGGTGCTGACCACTGTTTTCAACAAATGTTACATTTTAAAGGGTATTTTTCTTACTAGGTTACTGGGGTGGGCAGGGGGAAACTCTGTAGGTAGCAGACCTGTTATTATAAAGACAATTTAACAAGCCCCAGCTGTCCTGGTCTTGGCTGCATTGGGGTGCAGTATCACATAGCTCATCAGGAACTCCACATATTTTGCCTTAACTGGAGCAGATTGTAGCCCTCTTGTGGGAGATTCAGGGCAGCTGAGACTACATATCCCAGCATGCACTGCTCCAAAGTGACCAGAGTAGTTTGGCTGCGTTGTATGCTAGAACCTGAAGCCTTTTCAGCTTGCACATCTAAAGTAAGTTGAGGATTGATCACAGGCCATGCTGCATAACTCTGCAGGTTGTATAACACCTCCAGCTGCAGTCTAGCCATCCTTAACCGCACAGAATTACTTCTTTGGTTGACCCCTCCCACTTTGAGATCTTCCTGGCTCAGGAATATGCTGTGTCCTCCCACCAATGAACACTCCTGCTTTAAGGCATGGCATTGTGTTTTCTCTAAGGCACTTTAACAGGCTGGAAGGAACAAGCCAGGAGCCATGAGGGACTTCCATGGTTTTAGACTATAATCAAATAAGGCAAAGAGTCCAAAGCAGTGCTCGGGCAACTCCAAACACAATGCATAAGCTTGTTCCCGCATCTGTGGGGGACTTGGGAAGAAGAGGATTTTGAAAAACAGCTCCCATTTTACTAGTGTTTCTTGCCCTGCAAAAGGTGAAGAGGAAACCAAAATAACGTAACTTGTGGAGCAGCACTGCCCTTTTCTTGATCTGGGAGACTGCCCAAAGCTCTGGAGGCTGGTTCTCCTCTCATGCATGTCAGTACGTGGATGTAACTCCACCCATCTTACTTTGGATTTATACTAAGGAAGAAAGGAGGCTCACCCCCTTGCTTTGTTTCTGTAAAGCCTGTGTGTTCTGAGGGGCAGATCGCCCTCTCCCACTCTGCACTAAATCCTTGTCTCTGGATTTACTCAGGCATCACTGAGAACAGAGCCCATGCTCTGATATCCACAGGCTGCAGAGAACATGGTGATAGCAAGACAAAGGCAACTATGAAAGGGGCTGGTTGCTCACTGTACTGGTTATAAACTGCCTTTTTTCTCTCTGCTCACTGGGTACTGCCTCTTCCTTTTCTCTGTCAGCCAACTCCTTTGAAAATGGGGAAGTTGGAGGCAGAAGTCCTGCTGACCTTTATGCAAGCGGAACAAACTTCTGATGTCACTGGAAGCACTCCCTGAATAAGCACTAGGAACTGCAAGACAGGCGGTGACAATTGCTGACATTAGGCAAAAGGAGGGTGGGTGGTGGAAAGTGAAGCTGCAAGAAGACATCTGGACTCAGCCTGTGTGTGACCATCTGGAATGTGCTTCAGGGACATGAGTACATGGCAGTGGGGTGTGTGGGCATGTACCTTGAACACAGAAGGCCCTGTGGGACCCAGCACAAGGGTGTTGCCAACAGAGTAACATGTTTATAACTGGGGCAATTCTAACAAAAAGCAGTTGGAAGAAAATGTTTCAGGAAAGATGATCATAATGGTCAGAGACCTGGACAGACAGGCCTTGTGGGATGTCACAGGGGTCCCTCCCCTCAGCCTGGTTCACCTGGAACCTTGGATTAGAGGGAAAGGAGAATCCAGCTGACCTCACAGCAAAGGGAAGTAGAGAGAGAGAACACCACTCCTTTATCTAAGGCTTCAGCTAGCAGTGTGCTGTTAAAGCATCCCTTTTGGTGTTACTTTCCTACTGGGGCATCCCTCTGGCCCTTACCTAGCACAGCTCTCAGTCCCATCCACACACATTAGGGAGACCTTGTACAGTGACACAAAGCTGGGATAATCACTCTAGAGCAGGGGCGGGCAGGCAAAGTCCAGTCCATGGGCTGAATCTGGCCCTTGATGGGCTGCATTTCCTAGCAGCCCCTGCCTGCATTGCTGCAACTAGTTTCTATGGAGACTCCAGGAATGGTGGGGCCATGACAGCGTGGAGCCAGGGTTTCCATAGAGACTGACCCAAGCAGTGCTGGCAGGGCTCGTGGGTGGGTGGGGAGCTGTTCCAGGGCCAGGATTTTGTGGCAGTGACAGTGTGAGGCAGAGCTGTGATCCGCTGCCTGCATGCCCTTGGCAGGGGCATGCAAGCAGCCGACTGCAGGTCTGGACTGGCTTCAGACCACGTTGTCACCACCACAAAATCCCAGCCCCAGCTACTGGGCAGCTCCCCACCCACCTGCGTGCCCTGCCAGCACCGCTTGGGTCGGTCTCCATGGAAACCCTGGCCGCTGCTGAGGTCTCCATGGAAACTGGCTGGAGGGATGTGGGCAGGGGCTGCTGGGAAATGGTATCCGGCTCCCGGCAATGCTGATAGTTCCCTGCTCTAGAGCCTAGAGAGAACCACAGGATCTGGTTGTATCCAACCACCCCCACAGAGAATCCCCATTCTATTTATTACATGAAATCCTGTTTCATTACCTTGAGGGACACAGCAGCACCTGCCCTTCAGCTCTGGGCTTATAAGTTGATTGTACTTGCTGGGTACACTTCAATACAAACCGTGCACAGAAGCTACAGCACTTTCATTAACAAAAAGCATCTTGTGTTTCCTTGAAAGATCTAGAGCTACAAGATACAAAAGTGGAATTGCTACCATAGAAAATAAAGTAATAAAAAAGAGGGAGTTGGCCTGCAAGTGCAATGAGAAGAAATACTGTAGCACCTTTAGGAAGGGGTGGGTGAGATGAGGTCAAAGGGAACAGTGCCACATTGGAGCCCACACTGCACTGGAGTTGCTGCTGGGGACTGGCTGGCTGAAGGCAAGGGGCACATTGGATCGCTGTCAGTGGAATGTCACCAGGGACTCCAGGTGCCTCATAGCCCATGGGAGACAGGGTTTAAGACCCTCCCCACCCCCACCCCTACCCCAACACTTCCCTGGGATTCTCACTTTAGCTATAAAGCCAAGTGCCAATTTTCTCTTAAGTCATTTCTCTATACAGGGGAGCAGATGGAGAATGAGAGCCACATGGAGGAAGGGCAGTAGCAGGGGTGACCTGGAGCTTGGGGAAGGACACAGAGTGGGAGATGTGATGAGGGAGGTGGTGTAAGGCAGAAAGGTTAATGGAGAGTGGATGGCCATGGGGTGAGGGAAGGCAAAAGTCCCTGGATGACAGCGCTACACAGGAGATGCACTCAGTCACAGTGCTGTCCCTCACATGCTGCTGCAGTCAGTGCTAGAGGATGCTGTTCCTCAGAGCTTGTACTAGAGCTTGCCAGCAGGCTGCAAACATTGCATAAGGTTAAAGACTCCCTCCCCACCAACACTGACCCGCTCTCCTTCCCCAGATTCCCCTTTTAGCATAGAAACCCACACTGACTGCCCTCCATGGCCATTCTCTACACAGATCCATAGATCCCCTCCATAAGGGAGATCACAGGGGCTGTGGTAACTTCCTCCTGGCCTTGCTACCCCCCAGCAGTGAACACTCCCTGAATGTGGGCTGCACTCCCCTCCCCCACTGCATTACAAAACAAAAATCCCAACGCTATACAATGTAAATATCTGTGATTGGGCAATGGTAGCAGACACTTGTGCATACTGAGGTCGGCATGGAGAGACAGGGCAGCAGGTCAGGCCCAGCCTCCAGGCTCCTCTAGCACAGAGTCCCCTTACATCTCTTTGGTGCTCATTCGCTTGGTCTTCTCAGCTGTCTCCTGGGGAAAGAAAGACCTAGGTTAAGGGTAGGCAACATTTTTTGGCCAGAGTGCCAAAAACCACCACAATGCCTACCTTGGAAGGTGCCGGAGTGCCGGCATGGCAGAAAAACAAAATGAGGGCGGGGGTACATGGCAGGATGCCCTGCTTGTGCCCCTTGCCCCCCACCCAAAGCCCCTGCCCCCCAGCCCTGCCACCCT